AGGATTCTGCAGACAAGCTTGAGACAATGACAGCTGGTACAGTATTGCAAGGAGAAAGTCTTGCATTCAAAGTGAATTACGAAGACTATGATTATACTGTAAAGTATAGGTTTGTTCGTTATTTTGCTAGCATATGGCTATATTTTCTTGGATGTTATCTAGTTTCATGCTTTATCCTGCCTTAAGTATTGCTTACAAAAAAAATTTATTAGCTGCATATTACCGATTACAGTAATGGGACTGCGACGATTATGGACTTAGCAAACGATACTATGATGGTGTACTATGCAGGCGCACGGCAGATTTATTCCTCTGATGGAGAGTTAACAGATGATCTGGATTATCTGTTCGACGATGCTCTTGTTGTCGAGAGTGAGTTCACAAATAGCGGGTCGGTCAGACATTGTACAAGTCTAAAGTGACATCACGTTACTAGTGGCATACTGTACGAGCTAAACCGGTTTGGGACTCCTTGTATGACAAGCAAAGTTGTAATATATTCTTAGCCCACTTACGATATCCGATGTCGTTCATATTCTTGTTATGTTGTCCATGTTGCAGCAACAAAGATCATATCACCTCTTCTTGGCTAGCCTTTCGGAGAAGCTTTCGTCAGAGATTGTAAGGTTAAAGTCAAAGTATTCTTTCTCTTCAAACAGCAGTAACAGAGACAAAGTAGCATTCAACTAAGCAAGTGTAACACCAGCGCATTATAAGCTACTCAAGCGAATTTGACAGTATCTTGTAAAGACTATTTTCCGCCTTTTTTCACATCAATTCCGCATGAGGACAATAGCATTCGACCATTAGATTTGATTATAGCACAGTAGTTTTTGCGCGAAAGCATCACAGTCTTTCTTTGCAATTTTTATATTCTGACATTTGATTGCTACGGTCTCAAACTCGCGATAAGACTTTTACTGCTCTAATTTAAGCCGCCGTTTTGTTATGGGCCTTCGGTGCATCCGCACAGACGTGTTTGACTTGGACTTTTGCAATCCCCACTAGATCTTCCTTGACGCTGCGGCAAAAAGTCCGCTTTCAAAGATGTGAAATGATATTTGCATGGTAAACTTGCTATGAGATAAGACAGATAAAACCC